TTTTTTTTTTTTGGCTGAAAGTAAATGTCAAGAATTTTGCTCAGTCTGAAAGTGCCCCAAATTCCAGATCTATAGACATTTTAGCAAATACTTGTAAACTTATCAAGAGTAATAAGGTAAACTGCTGGTGGCACAACCATTAAAAACAAAATAATTTAGCCAATTTCTAAGAAAAATATGTTCCTAAAAGCCATCATAGTTACTGTGGATTCTTCTAAGAACAAAGAAGCGTTTAATTCCCCTATTGAATCAATGTTATCTGGTGCATAGACGCACTAATATGTGGAAGGTCATTTGTTGCAATAGAGAAAAACGAAAAAAATCTATGCATCACCTCCATTCCAATGCTGGATCCTGCTCGAAATAGATCAGTCAGAGCCACCATGGCATTCAATTTTTCTTCAATGCTTAAGTCTGAATATTCACCTTCCATCAGTCCTAAAAGCCATGCTTCACCAGAATGGCTTTCATCAATTTCCGTACAAACATTACGGATGCCTTCTTTACTTTTACGGAGTTTTAAAATTGTCCAATTTTGAAGACTCAAACTTCCTGAACCACACCCAGAATCTTCGTCGCTACTATATGCATCACTCCCAGTGAGATCATCATCAACCACTCCACAGTCTTCGGTGTCTGACTGAAATTCCTCTGCTTTCTTTATGATAGTGTTGATGCGTAGACGGTAAGTGGCTGATGAGATCTTTTCAAACAATGTTATATCACTTGATAGCACTGAGCATATTATATACTCTACTTCTTCTGCAGTGCTGGCAATTTTTAGATCAACAATCTGCAAGACAGAGAAATGAGGATAATTAGAGTGGTCTGTCATCTGTCTATAGTCAATAAAAATGAGGATAACAGCGAAAATAACATGTTGAATGTGTTTTCTTTTTTTTTTTCTTCGTTAAAAAGCAAATAAAATAAAAATGGAGCAACTTACTGGCAAGGACTTTGCCAAGTCAGAAACTTTCAACCCATTGTTTCCTTGCTCCAGCAAAATTTTAAATAATTCACCCTTCAAGGTACCAGGACGTAAACCATACGTCACCATATGATGCATTTCCTACGTAAACAAACATAAGATATTAAATTCCCAAATTCAAAAACACGCAAGTAAAATGATACACATATTTGTAGTTGGAAACTATCAAAAGTAGAAAATAAAACCATCAAATGAAATAAAGAAAGCCAAATGCAAGGTCCCTGCTCCCAAGATATTCAGGAAACAAATCACAGCCTACGCACTTATGAACTCTTGAAGATACACATATGCATAGTGGCAAACCATAACAGACACGCGAAAGAAGTGTAATAGTCACAGAACTTGTATAAACTAAGCGTGGATGGAACATAATAGAAGATTAATAGCTCCCTCAGTTTTCCACTAGTGATTTCAGCACTAAGTGGGAAGGGAAAATGGAAAACAAATTACAAGTTGGAGACTGAAAAAGTTAAAAATTTTCCCACGGTTTGGTCAGAGCAATTGTTCTAAGAATTTGATAGGATGGGCCTCAAGAATAATGACCTAGCAAGAACTTTTTCTCCCCCACCTGATTATTCTTCCTCCCAAATTATTACTCCTAGTCAGGTAATAAATTCACGTTTATCAAGTTACTCATCGAAAGAAGAGCTTTTTCTCATGCTAAACATCGTTTGTTAAACATTCTACATCACTACTTTAGCTCAACTTGACAAGTGTTGAGTTTAGGAAGTGATAAATTCACATTTATCAAGCAAATATACACCAAATAATATCAGTTGGATATTTTAAGTCCCTTACGAGTTGAGAAAAGATTTTTGAAAGAGACATGAACTAGGGGATGCAATACAAAAATTAATTTTCACAATAATGTTTTAGAATAGAGGTATCAATAAGATATCCATCTGGGCCTCCTAGATTCAAGGTAAAGCTTTATCAGAGCAAAAGTGACTGACAAATAATTAAATGCTTCAGAATACCTTGTCAAGGGATTCTCTGCGAACTGCACTTTGCTTTGACCCAAAACCAGCTGCGACCAATACTTGGCGCAATATTTCTGTCCATGTTAGAGGATTTAGTGATCTCTTCCAAAACTCCAAAACAGATTCTTGATTTTCGACCTGCAAAATCATTGACAAAAACGCCCAAGTTTAGAATGCTTCAACCAAATTTCCATCTTAACCAAAGATAAACTCTAAGCCAATTTCATACGAAAAATAAGGATATAAAGCAAATAATTCAAACTCATAAAAATCTTAACATTCTTCCAGTTAAATCCATTTGCCCCAGCAAAAGTTTGACAAAAACTTAACATCAAACTTCATTCAATCGTACACTACAAAACTTAATATCCTTGTAAGGTTATAAAGGACAAACATGAAGAGAATATTAAATGATCAACTTCAATGTATGCGAAAAAAGCAACAATTAAAGCATGTGTGTTAATGTGTGCTAACTCACCGAGTGAAGTAAGGCGAGATAATTGCAACATCTGCTCAAATTAGGCAACGATCCATTATTGTGTGCCTCTTCAATGTCAGATAGAAGAAGTTTCAAAAGGGCCACATTAACTTTTCCAAGCAACAAAGAATCCTGAAAGGCATGTTAGAGAACAGGTTATACAACAGCGAAAGGAATCACAAGTTTAAATGAAATATAAAGTAGGCTTAAAGATGAGATAAGACCTTGTCGTGAAATGCTTGAGCAAACTCATCAAGGGTGAAGGGGCAGATATCAACGTCGAGAGAATAAGTATAAAGGAAATGAAAAACCTGCCAAGGAAAAATCACCACCTTGTTTTAGAACACACATTCCACATGTGTGCACCTCGAATAGTTTCTTGACAATTTCGAAATATGAACTAAGCTTCTAAATGAGGACCTCAAAAAATCTAGTAACGCATATCCATATGTGTGCACCTTAAAAAGTTTCTTGACAATTTCTACAGATGATTCCCAAGGTTGTGTACTGAAAGGTTGCTTCATCTTGACTGAATTTGGAGGGAACTTGGCCAACACATCTGAAAGATGACACAAACTCTAGTTATCCACGTCAGAGAAACATCAATATCAAAGGAAAGGCAATATAATTTCATAAATTTGAACTCAAGATTATCTCCCCTCATCCCATGTTAAAGAACCATTAAACCCAAAAGGACTTTAGCTATTAAAATAAGTCATAAAACTTTCGGTTAACTGATTCTTTTACAAGGCAAACTCCAAACACCATTAAAAAGAAAAGGGAAAATCAACATCAGGACCCCTTCGTTTCGAACCAACCTTTGCAAAGTGAACAACCAAGACCTGCATTGGTACTAGAATGACCAGAACACCCTGGTGGATCTAATACACATTGTAACCGTCCCAACTCCAGGTCTTCATCATCCATGAGCATTGAAATCTGATGAAAACTTTCTTGAGAATCTCGACCTTCCAAATAAAGTTCACAATTTTGTCCGTCTGGCAACTCCTGATTCCCATCTTCGGATAATTCCACCTGGCATATAACAACGAATTGTATGTTGTAACAGTTGCCAATTAAAACAAACACCAGATTCAACAAAAAGTCATACTTAGTACCTCTCTTCTTTTAATTGAATGCTTCTTCTTCTCTGGTAATTTGTTACAGTTGCCAATTAAAACAAACACCAGATTCAACAAAAAGTCATACTTAGCACCTCTCTTCTTTTAATTGAATGCTTCTTCTTCTCTGGTAATTTGACTCGTAATCTTGCCTGCTTATAAACAAAATAGCAACTTTTCGGTGAGCTTTCTAATTTACCACTGAAATGAACTCTAAGATATTAAAACATCAAGCATTTCATTCAAGTTTCTGTAAGAAAAAGCAAAGTATAAAAGACAGACTAATCGACTTACGTTACGAATGTTTTGTTTTTGTGGTTTTTTGAGTTGAATTCGTGGATTTCGTGACACGGATTTCGAGATTGATGATGCACCAGTTCCCTCATCAGCAAAATCAATGCCAGTAGGAATATCTCCAGCATGAGGGTTTGTGATCCGCCAGACAGTCATTAAACCTTTACCCATACCATGCTTTTTCACTGGAGGATACTTGCCATTCAGAGCTGTACTTACAACAGCATGCTCAGAAACCTAACCAAAAGGTAAATAATATATGTGAAAAACAGGAACATCAGTACCAAAGAAGGGAAGAGAAACGAAAACGATATAACTTATGGAATGACCCTTTTGACTCCTCCATATTGCTTGGAGCTCCTAAACTAGTGCTTGGAACTTTGTACGATGAAATAAATCACGGAAGCATAATAACAACATTTTTGTCAGTACAACTCAAAAGGCCTAAAAGGGAGAGGGAAAAGGTAAATTCTTAAAATTGGAGAGATCAACAGGTGAATTCCATTCCCAATAAGAAATCTCTGACCTCGGATAAATGAAAGAAAAGCATGAAAAGAAGCTGTCATCTAATACATAAATTGCTCATGTACCTTCCTCCGTTTGATTGCTCTTAGATTCTCTTTGCAAGGAGGATAAGAATTTCCGGGACCTAATAAAGTAAATAAATTATTAATATTAAAATGAACATAATCCGAAGTGTAATAAAAAATATTTTATGGTAACCTTGATTTCAAAATTGTGATACGAAAACAGAAGATCTGGGCAAAGCTCAATTCATAAAACCTGAATAGACCTACTGATCTTGTTGTTCAAAGCATTGAATTTAGTACTCTCACAAGACAGCCACCTAACGAAATGTGCCAATGATAACAACAACGAAAACTAGTACACAAACCCCCTATCACGTTCGTATTAAGCATTATAGGCAAGTCAGCTGAGTTTATTACCTTTACAAGGGAAAAATCGCGTTGAAGGAAGAGTATCAAATTCCAGCCCAAGGGGAGGACCATCCTTCCGAAACACCTTTCTAAGAATGTAGTCCGGCATAAACAAATCCTGAAGATGGCTTTGCTTGTTTTTCCTCTTGGCCACTGCGTTCTTAACCGTGAGCATCTGTTTGCATTTTGAATTATGTTTGCATTTTGAAGACGATGTTCGTGGAACTGTTGCTAAACCTTCTCTTTTCTCCTTTCTCCTCTTCTCAACAAACCAACCTCGGACCTGCTTGTAAGTCAATCCCAGAGTAGCAGCATAGTCTTCCATTTCCACTGGTGTAGGATAATTGTTCTCTGTTACAATAAACAGCCACCCATTGATACGAATACAACAGATTCCGTTTGTATGTATTTTTGCAATGAAATACCTAAGGCCTACTTGGAATAGTTCCTAGGTTCAAAAACTATTTCCGCAAGTGTTTAGACTATGATGAGCTTTCAAAAGAGCTTTCCTCCACAAGCAAAGCTTCAAGCCAAAGCGTCTGTTTGGGAGAGCTTCCCAAAAAGCTACTTTTGGAAGTGTTTAGATGATCTGTCAAAAGTGCTTTGGCTTTGTAGAAGAAGTTCTAGTCAAAGCCACAAAATGAGGCTTCTAAAAAAAAAGCACTTCTGAATAGACTTTAAAACTTGTACTAAAGTTTCATTAAGACATTATAAACTTAATTCCAACAATTTTATTGCTTATTAGAAAATTTAAAAATGGTTTTGACCCATTATGCTCTTTGATTCTAAACACTTACTGAAAAGCCAAAATTTTTACTTCTCTCCTTCTACTGACTAAAAGCAAAAGCAAAAGCTCTGCCAAATGGGCCTAAAGTCCCATAATGTTACTTCTCAATTAAGCACTTCTAAGAAGCCTTTGAAACTTGCAGAAAAGCTCTAATAAGATTTTATGAACTTCATTCTAAACAATTTTTGTTGCTTATTACTAAAACAAAATATCAACTTTGTCTCGTCAGGCTATTTCTAAAATATAGTAGTAAGCACTAACTACAAATTCATCATTTTACTTCTTTTATTCAACTTCCTATTAGCATACAGCCCTTATCCACTAATTATATGATATATACACACACATATATGTACTTCAGTATACATATACACATATTATACATACAAATATATTTATATATATATATAATTACGGTGGTTACCTAAGTAGAAAGGGTCAAGAGCTTCAAGCTGCCTAGGCGTTTTCCTCTTAATCTCCATGTCCAATTTTTATTCCTCTCTTCTGGACAATTGCAGCTCCAGTTTCCAATATCTGCAACTCCCAAAAAACAAAATCCTCAGAGATTCCACTGCCCGTTCATTTTACCATTCGAGTTTATAATTTGAATTTTGCTATAGTAAAAAGCTCTCATAAACCGTAACATCTAACTTTTTTATTAGATGAAAAAACTCTAACATAAAATTACATCTCAACTCAAATTAAAAATTTGAATAGCGAACTAAACAGTCTTAAAATTTGACCGTTTTCCTCTTAATCTCCATGTCCAATTTTTATTCCTCTCTTCTGGACATTTGCAGCTCCAGTTTCCAATATCTGCAACTCCCAAAAAACAAAATCCTCAGAGATTCCACTGCCCGTTCATTTTACCAATTCGAGTTTATAATTTAAATTTTACTATAGTAAAAAGCTCTCATAAACCGTAACATCTAACTTTTTTATTACATGAAAAAACTCTAACATAAAATTACATCTCAACTCAAATTAAAAATTTAAATAGCGAACTAAACAGTCTTAAAATTTGAGCAAACGGTCTTAAAATTTGACCATCAAAATCAATAAGGAGGAACTATTAAGCAAAAGCTAAAACTTTTCCTAAAAACAAAAAAAAAAGAAACTTTAAAAAGAAGAAAGAGAAACAAACTGACTGTGGCGGACAAAAAAAAAACCGCGAGCAAATTCCGGAATTGCAAACAAGGAAACGGGACAGAAAATGTATAAAAAAAAAGGGGCAGTGATGAAAGATACGAAGACGAAGAAAGAGAAAAAAAAAAAAGAAAAAAAAACAGATTGAATTGTTGAAGAAGAAGAAAAGAGAATGAGATAAAGAAAGAGAGAAATGAGAGAATTAACTTCTTAGTGGATGAAGCGAGTGTGGAAATGAAATTGAGAAAGAGTTACTTACAGTTTAGTCGGAAGCCATTAAAGTTGAGCTTGAGAGCTTCAAGGAAGCAGAGTCAGACAAGGGAGAGATAGAGAGAGAGAGAGATGAGAGAAATGAGAGTTTTTAGAGGGAAGAGGCATAATATCATCACGTAGGGTTTTGGGTTTTACCTGTCAATTATCTCTCTAATATCTGCTGTGGTTTTCTCGGACAATTTTTTTCCAAAGAAAAGAAAAGAAAAGAAAAAATAATTTTAAAGGAAAAAAGAAAAACAGGAGGATACCCAGGGCCTTAGCCCAACCTAAAATGTTGTCTCAGTTTGGGCTCTTCATGAGAAGGCCCCAAGTTGAAGGTTTGGATGGTTACTACTCAATATAGTAGCTGAAAAATAAAGCATTGTCGTTTAATGAGAATAAAATAAAATGCTATAATAACACTTAATTATTTAAAATAATATAAATAATAGGCATGCATCAAATTATGTACTTTTCTAAAAATAAAAAGCAGTATGTCACCGTTGTTGATTAAAAAGAAAATATTATGGTAAAATATTTGACAGAATCCTAGCTCCCCCATGTACCAATGTCTGGAAGGGTAAAATGATAATTTCATGATATGTGGAAGTGTTAAACGTCAAACTATCGGGACATTAAGGGGACGTTTGAAAGGAGGATTCGTGCCATGATTCGAATCATGATTTGTGACTCGTTACATTATTTTCTCTCATAAAAAATACACGTAAAATGAGAATAGTTCTGAATTTATGAATCAAACGTCCCCTAAGACTTAGTTTGGTATTGATTCTGGACGCCTAAAAATACTTTTTTATCCATCTTAACTTGTTTTTGCCGTTTGGTAAGAAGTAAAATAAAATAAGTGCTTCTTCAACAATTTTAAGCTGTTTTCACCTTTAGAGAGAAGCAGCTGGAAGGGTGCTTCTGGATTCTAACTTGTGCGGGAATCACCTCCTTTTACATTAATAAAAAAATTTTATTCCCATTTTACCCCGTTGAAATGAAATAATTCCCGTCTACCCATTTTTCCTATCTCATCTCCATCACTCCCCGTTATCTCTCGTGATTGTGAATACCCTCTTGAACAGAGCTCACCGCTCTCATTTCTCGCTCCTCTCTCTCGCCGGTCTGCGTTCCGTTCTCCGTTCGCCGTTCTCTGGTCTCCCGGTCTGCGCTCCATTCTGATCTCCTCTGCACGAGTGGTTGTTCGCCGGTCTCCCTGTTCTTGCGATCTCCTCTCCCGAGTTTCGCCGGTCAACCTCAGCCCTCTTAAGCACGTTTTTGCTTTAAGTACTCTGTTAATCTTAGTATTTCGAGATTTGCTTCTGATTTGTCCTCAAATTTTTGGGGTTTTTGTGTTGCATCCTTTACTGAATGTGCAGAAAAATGGAAAATGTACTTGTTAGGGTTTCGGTTTTTTATTGAGTATTGCTTGTAGAAAGAGGTTTGGATTCTGTGGAATGAAAGAGTTTTTGGCTTGTAGAACGTCAGAAGCTTGATAAAATGTGTAAGACGTCAATCTAAAATTCTGTAGCAGAACAAAACACAACTGTGTCCCTTAAGTTAATCAGACAAAGAAATAAAAACATCTTCACAACCAAAAAAAAAAGTTGGCATGGTTCACACCGTCACACGTACCCAAGGTTTATTTACTGGAGACAATATATATTTGGCCAAGAAAGTAACAGAAGCAGCTATTAATGATGGGGCATAACAAAGCATGCCATAATCCAGAAGAAATAGCTCTGCAAGATAGTTGGCCATACATTCCAAATGCATTGATGGAACATAAATAGCTTATTGAAACAATTCGTCAACTCCTTCAAAGTCATGACTGATAACAAAAATAGCTTATTTCAATGTTCTTTGGCCTTATTAAAATGGAGAAAATAGTTAAACCGACAAACTAAGGCTTTGTCAAATGTAGAGAAACATCGCTGGTCAGTTGAGCTACACAAACAAATCGCCTAAACAATCGTCATGAACAAGAAGCTAATGACCATTCAATAAAATAGGAACTTGCAGTAAACATGTCAGTAACAAAAAGAAAGCTAACGATTACCTCTAAAAACAAATAGTAGTTGGCATTTCAAACTTGAATAAGAATGTAGAAATAGGGTATGTTTGATGACAATGGTTTTAGTCTAAATTCTTAGTATATTAAGTGTTGGGCGGCATTTCCGGAATCATTAAATGTTCAATAAATTCAAAGGTTTGTTAGAGCCCAAGCTCTCCCGAGCCCAAGCGCACCCGAGTCCAAGCGCTCCC